CCACCACCACCTCTACCACCACCACCACCACCTCCACCACCACCACCACCACCACCACCCCAAGCACAGTGGCAGAAATGCTGAATGCTTGGCTCCCAGTCTGTTGTGCGAACATGCCGAGGAGTGACTCGAGAGGCACAGGGTGCTTCACACACAATCCTGCAGCCAGAGACGCCAAGTCCATCATCACATGCAGGCTGTCCCTTGTGGTTAGTGGGGACTTGCCAAAAGAGCCAAAGGGCAAGATGTTTGATCAAATTACGTATCATCTGGACTTGATGGAAAGTGACTACTTCAGTCTGAGATTCATGGATGCAGCCCAAGTAGCACATTGGTACAAAAAGTGCCAAAAAGCAAGTGAAAAATGGTTCACCCTATTGTCTTCATCTTCGAGTTAAGTTTTATTCCTCGAAACTAAATAATCTTCGTGAGGAGCTAACCCAGTATTTATTTGTTCTTCAGTTAAAACTAGATATTCTCAGAGGGAAGTTACTGTCCCTGTGGTACAGGAGTTTAGTTGGCAGCTTAGAATCTGCAAGCTGAACTTGGTGACTATGAATGCACTAAACATAGTCCTGGACTCGTCTCTGAGTTCAGGTTTGTGCCTATTCAGACTGAAGAGATGGAACTGGCTATTTTATTTTATTGAGAAATAGGAGGAATACAGAGGCCAGACTCCAGCACAAACTGAAACGAGTTATCTGCAGAAAGCCAGCTAGACAGCAATGTATGGAGTTGATACGCATGTGCTCAAGGCTAGAGATGAAAATGACCAGTTTGGAACTAACTCAACAGGAGTCCTTGTTTTTGAAGGAGAAACCAAAATCAGCTTATTTTTCTGGCCCAAGAGAACCAGATTGGATTTTAAGAATAAGTTAACTCCAGTGGTTGTGGAAGCTGATGATCAGGGCACAGAGCAAGAGCATGCCTTTGTCTTTAGACTGGTCCATCCAAAGTCTGCAAACACTTAGAGAAACACACTGTGGAGGACTACGCCCTCCTCTGCCTATGAGGACCTGTCCAAAAGAGTTCTCATCGATCAGGATTCATTGGACTGGGATCATGATTTAGATGTAGTGGAAAAACAGAGTAGCAGACCACAACTAACAAAGCGAGAAGGTCAGGCTCCTTTGCAAGAAGGCCCAGAAAGTGATACCCCCAACATCCCCTACAGATGAGAGCAGGCACAACAGAACCTGAAGATCTTGGTGTGCATAATGCTTCACCCCAGAATAATGACTCCCAGCAGGCTTGGGATGCAAGGTCTCCTGAGCCCAAGACTCCTTCCTCATCCTCTGGTCCTCTGAGGGTGGAGATAGAGAACCTTCCACAGAATTCTGAGCAGACCAACACGACAGGAAATGACTCTCTGTGACCACTGTCAACGTGGTGGGAACCAGGGGAACACAAGGGCCTTGCCCCCATCTCGGACTGCACACAGAAACTACACTGACTTTGTCCATGAGCACAATATGAAGAATGCAGGAGCCCATCATAACGCTCATTTTTCTGGTCCTGCAGCCATGACCGAGATATAAGCTACACCTTTTAGGCCGTGGAACTCTGTCACTGAGGTTGACAATGTATTTTGTGGTGTTTATAGAGGACTGATTCCATTAGGAGTGTTGGAGAGAATATACTTCATACGGAGTCACTAGTTACACAGTACTGTGGCTGACTTCCGTGAAGAGAACTTGGAGAAGCCGGAAGCTGTCACTGACAGTGGCAGGTGCTGCTGTGTTGAAAGGGTGTGCATGCCACTATGGCCCTGGGAAGGGTTTCCATAATTTTAGCACTGAACACATCACTCAGAACATCTCTCAGGAGGCCTGTGTTTATGATAAACTATCAGCTGTCATCTGACCACGTGCCATCCAAGGAAACAGTTTTAAAGAATAAGACACAAAGAGCACACCCAAAAGGTGTCCAGTCATGGTACAGCAGCCTTTTGTGGTGCTGTAGTAACTCTTCTCACATACGGCTTTCTGAAGTGACCCATGCCTTAATTTCACCAAGTAGCTGTGGCTTCAATAAAAATTTACTATGCTTTATTTTTTTAATAAACATGTTTTGTTGCCTCAGGTCTAGAGATTGCAATCACAGTATGATTCTTGTAGAGAGGTAATCTAAATGACTTCTCTGAGTGGTTAACAGATAGTTAACTAAATGGTTATATTACTAGTGATGGTTATACTGAATGCAAAATGGAAAGCTTTCTTAGGTCATTGCTCCTTCTTTCTCATTGAAAATCCTTGACAGATCACCCGGTTTGTAACACCCTCATAATCTGGCCTTATACAACCTTTA